AAATGAAATCACTTTCTCATTTTTTTCAAGTTATAGTTTTATTTTAAGATCTGATATATAGTCACTTTACATGTTTTTTTGATAGCCAGTCTCAGCAGAATTTACATCAAGAAATGTATGAGATCAGATCAAATGAAATCAAATATGAAATTTATAATCTCAGTGACTAGTCTACACAGTGTGTACTGAACTGAAAGACTGTGTAAGTTGCAAATCAGTGACAGCATTTCAGAGAGAGTCATACAGTATAAGAAAGTCATAACTCTCACTTATATATACAGAGAATGAATCACTGTAATAAGTATATATATATTGAAGTAATACTTTTTAATAATACTCAGTCTCTGATATGATGAAAATAGAGTCTCTCTGTGAGATTCATTTTTATCAGAAGTCAGAGAATCTTATATTTCTTAAGATTATTTTCACATGTCTTATCTATGAAATTGATAAGAACAATCATTAATTTCAGTATTCTATTCTTGATATTATTTAAGTAACAGCAGAGTTCATTCTGATCACACTTTTTAAGTGTATATTTTCTAATTATTCATATTTATACAGATATATACTGATTATTTATTAGATGATATTAAGATAATAACTTATTACAGTTATATTATTCTCACTATAAGAGATACACAGTTAGTAATGAATATTGTAAAAACTCTGAAAAGTAAGTATTTTAAAAGTACTACAGCTCTGCAATCTTGATTTTTTTTATTTTTCTTTTTTATTTTTTTATTTTTCTTTTCTTTTTTTCTTTCTCTTCTTTTTTTCTTTCTTTTTTTTTTCTCTTCTTTTTTTCTTTCTCTTTTTTTTTATTGTGATTTTTTCTTGTTATTATTTTATTTTTTATTTTTTTGTTTTTTTTATATTTTATATTTTTTTTAATTAAAATGATATTAATTACAATCTATATTTAGAAAAGTAATAATATTTAATAATACTCTCTGTTAAATTTTCAATAAATGAGCACTATGTTATAATATTATGTAAGTGAGAAATGATTTCATAATCTCATTTAGTATCATTTTCAATAATAAGATCAGAATAAAAATATGATTAAGAATTTAAATATATTCTTTATCTGAGACTAGATTTTTATTTGAAAAGTGAATCTGAGATCTTTAATATTTGAAATAATGTGATTTGAAATCAATATAATAAATATAAATTATGATCAGAAGTAATACTTTTAAATAATATAATAATTATAAAGTTTAATTCTGATCTCAGACACGGTTACACAGTTAGTCTAGTCTGAGATAATATTATAGTGCAGACTATTATTACTGTAAGTAGACTAGTTATCAGAATTATGAATTTCATATTTGATCTTATTTAGTCTGATCTCATACATTTCTTGATATGAATTCTGCTGAGACTGGCTATCAAAAAAACATGCAAAGTGACTATATATCAGATTTTAAAATGAAATCATGACTTGAAAAAAATGAGAAAGTGATCTCATTTGATTTCATTTAGTCTCATTCTTGGCATAAAGTTACTATTTTTAGACATTTTAAGGTTTTTTTTAGACTATTTTTAATTTTTTAAAAAGTAATGCTTTTTGATAACACTCAAATAAGATTTAAAGTCATTTAAAGCAATAAAAATAATTTAAATTGAGAAGTGAAAATCATGATCTCATTTGAAAAATGTGATAAGAGTAGACAGTAAGTTTCACTGAGACAGTATGAGACTACTATCTAATGTTAAAACTGTGTAATAAAATCAGTTGAATTAATAATAAGACTATTAAAAAATCTAGTTCTGATCTCAGACACAGTCACATAGTCAGTCTAGCTATAAGAGATAAACTAGTATATTATTACAGTAAAACTGAACAATCTTTTACAGAGTACTATACTAAAGCAGCTCTACTAGATCTCTCTTATTAAGTTAATATTCACACTTCTCAAGATTGAACAGAGAAGAAATAAGACTTGTATATTAAATTAATCTAAGACTACTATAATATTAACTATCAGAGATTTGAATAAGCAGATATTAGAGATGTAAAGACAGTGAAATACAATTCTCTAGTAAGTAATAATCTTTGATAACACTTTATATTACATAGAACTATAATACTAACTTTGAAACAGAACTTATATACATTGATTACAACTGAAGATTAGATAAAACTATATACTTATAAAACTGAATTTAACTGCTATCTTCAATATAATCTGATGAATTTACATATTAAATCAATTCTAGAGTTATAGAAAATTATTAAGTGTATATATTCAACTATTATACTGTTAATATATGATATTCTGATAATTTCATTAATAGAGATGAGAATAAAGTGAAAGTTTAACTCAAGCTAAGATATTTATTACTATTACTGAGAATAATTATAAGAAGAAATAATCAAGAAACTCATGATTATAAAATATAGAATTATCAGACAGTTTAATATCTCTGATCACAGTATATCAGAGAAGTGTAGTTTTCATAAGAAAGTAAAGAATAAACTTATATAAGAATGTATTTAATTATTTCATAAGTATTATCAATAATTGTTATCAAATTCTGATTATATAAGCAATCACTGAATAAACTGAATAAGACTGAATTTAATCTTCAGTTTTAGTCTTATTCTGATTTTAAAAGAATGATTATCTTTCATAGTCTATTCTAAGAAATTACTCTTATTTCACTGTTCTTGTATTAAATCTGATTATTTTTCACACTATTTCTCTCAGAAATGATTCATTTTCAGATTTTTTTAATACTTAGTTCTGATGAGACTTATACTAAGAAATGTATAAGATCAGATTAAATGAAATCAAATGTGAAATTCATAATCTCACCGGCCAGTCTAGTAGTATCTTAATATGAGAAATTTAGATATACAGGTCTGAAATCTGTAGAGAATACATTAAATTCAGAACTTAAGTATCTCAGATTTCTAATAAATACAGAGATATATAAATTACTTTAATAAATTACTCTATGTTTCTAAGCTGAGAAGTTATTATTATATGTATTTAATTATTACTTCTTTATATTTTTCTGTATTCTGTTATTTTAATATAATCTCAACATCTGTATTTTCTTCTATATAATTAACACTTAATCTGTATTTAATATTATATAAGAACTTGTCATAAGCTCTGCTTGTATATAAGTATAATAAAAGAATAATAATAATAATAATAATAAGTTAACTGTTTTATATTTAAAAGAATTATATAATTATTCTTTGATGAAATAAAATAAGATAAAACTGAGATAAAAATAGAAGTATTTTAAGAATTTTCAATCTTATGTATTTTATTTACAATAATACACTGCATATCTATTTAAAAATAAAGAGATAAAAATAGTAAGATCTTTAAGTTATATAAATAATATTAATCTAGTTTACAGTTTAAAAACAATTAAAGAGAATTTAGAAATAATTATAAAAGCAGTAAAGAAAATCTTTATTAAAGTAAATATTAATTAAATTTAATTTAATATAAATAAAACTAAGTTAATTCATTTTTTTTCTCATATTTAATAAGAAAAAACTAAGTTTAACTCTTTTAAATAAAGAGATTAAACTCAGTTTGAATGTTAAATAACTAAGAGTATAATTAAACTTCAAGTTAAATTTCAAATATTAAAGAACTATTAAGATAGAAAGATTATTAAATAATATAATCAGACTATTAAATACAGAAAGAAATCTATTTTTTCAGACTATAAAATAATTATATATAATCTGTATAATAATATCATCTTAGTAACTGATTATAAAGTTTAAATTTAATAAAATAATTAAAGATATTTTACTAAACTCTTTCAAAGTCTGTAAAATAGAGTTTTAAGAAGAACTTTAAAAAGTATTTAAATTATCTTCTATTAAAATAATGAAAATTGAAGTCTCAGTGATTAAATAGTTAATACAGTCATCTAATAGTGTCTTAATATGAGAAATCAAGACATGTGAGTTTAAAACCTGTAGAGAATACATTAAATCTGAAACTTAAGTATCTCAGATTTCTAATAAATACAGAGATATATAAATCACTTTAATAAAATCACTCTATGTTTCTGAAATAAGAAGTTATTATCATATATATTTAATTATCACTTCTTTGTATTTACTATGTTCTTATTATCTTGATGTGATCTTAACATCTGTATTTTCTTCTGTATAATCAACACTTGATCTGTATTTAACATCATGTAAGAACTTATTATAAGCTCTGCTTGTATATAAGTATAATGAAAGAAGAAGAATAATAATAATAATAATAATAATAATAACATCTGTATTTTCTCCTGTATAATCAACACTTGATCTGTATTTAATATCACGTAAGAACTCATCATAAGCTCTGCTTGCATATAAGTATAATAAAAGAATAATAATAATAATAATAATGAAAATTGAAGCTTCAATTTCTTCATCTGCTATTAAATTTAAGAAAGTCTGTATAAACTATACTCTGAGAGTTATAAAAATAAGTTAATTCATATAATCAGAGAAAGAGTTTCTTCTTCTTTTTTACTAATTAACTCTGAAAATGAACTGAATTGAAATAGATTTCTTGATTGAAATGAAAACAATTCTTCAAAGAAAATGCTCTCTCAACTATACAGACTATGTTCATTGTGTGATTCGGAAGAACGTACGGCCGCCAGATAATAACGCGACCGCTTCTGAATACGCTTACGAATGTAAGGGGCTCTAGCGGCCACTAATTAATTTAATCTACATATAAGAAGCCGGCGGAATCACATCTGATAGCATGTCTAAAAATCAGTGAGAAGTACATGCTTCTCTGAGATGTGATAATTTCATCTATGAAGCAATTTGTAGTTATTATATCAGAGTAATTCTAAAAACACCTCAGAATAGAAGTGTATGAAGATGTGATGAGTGAAAGAGTATTCAATTGATACTGCTCTGCTTATTGAGAGAAAACTTCACACTCAGACAAATATCACATATGCAAACATAATAAGATGTGAGAAAAGAGAATGAAGACAGTGAACACTGATTCAAAGAAGTTCACTCTCTACTTAGAAGAATAAAAGAAGAATGACTATTATCAGAATTGTACAACAGTAACAGAAATCATAGAATGATAGACACTGTATAATTAATAAAAAATCTTCTCCAATAAACATCTCTTCTAATTAATATGAATAACACTCTTCTCTGCTGTCTGAACTGAAGAATATACAGGATCTTCTGAAAGATTTACTTAAAGCATGCATAGATTTCAAGGACAGAAATCCTTGTGTGCAACAACGGCAGCGGCGTACCTGGGTCGTATTTGCAACAGGGCCATCTCGAGGGGACTCGGTCTCGTGCGGCCGACCGAAGATCTCTGTGATGCCATGGAATCTGGAAATGATGGCGTGGGTAACAGGGAACAAGCGGCGAAACAATAAGCAAAACATGGGAATCGCTAATATAATATATATCGCCTAAACATATATGCAATAATGCAAGGACCCGAAGGCTGCTGATTACCAATGCCACGATGATGCAGTGAAAAAATTTCACAAGAAAAGAAATATATATCAGGGAAACGAGCCCCTGATGCATGTTCTGTGAATATACCATGTGCAGAAACACCGATGTATTTCAAATCTAACCATCTATGCCACGAGACATCGGTCCGACGCGCCCCTTCTATGCAGCATCAGTCCTTTACCTCAAAACAGGAAAGTAGACCCCCCAAAAAAAATCTATATTCCTCACTGAAAAAAAAAAAGAAAGAAAAAAAAAAGAAGAAAGGCGAAAGGAATGTAAAGGGCCGAGGGGAAAAGGAACATATTAAATCACTGCAAAGCATTCGAGATCTCAATCTCCACCTTTCCATTGAAGCCCTTCAGTGTAACACTCCGCAGATCCTGAACGATCCAATCTGCGCCAGCCTCCTTGAGCTGTTCAATCTTATGCGTCGACGTGAGGGCGACGACCTTGAAGCCCGCCGCCTTGCCAGCCCGGATACCCGAAGGCGCATCTTCAACCACCAGCATCTCAGCCCCATCTCCCAGTCCAAGCCGGGAGCGGCCCAGCAGGTAACATCGCGGATCTGGCTTGCCAACCTCCACATCTTCGGCAACAACCATGTACTTGGGGTGCGCGAGTTTCATGACCTCCAGCCAGCCATGGACAAGCGCTTTGGTCCCTGAAGTAACCACAGCCCAGAGGGCGCCAGCTTCGTCTAAGGAGTCTAACAGTTGTCGTGCTCCAGGTATTTCCACCGCGTCTCTGCCATCCTCCCTGGGGATTCGGCCTTCAACGTAACTCACGTCTAGTATATTTATTAGTCAGTCAGTGGAAATGGAAGAAAGCGTGTGATACATGATAGCCTTTGGAGCTGTGCACTTACATTCCCAGTTAGCTTTTTCCGGAGCAATGATTTGCAGGACATCTATGCTTCTTCGTCCGTGGGAAGTCTTCAGAATAACTTCAGGATCTAAGTTCAATTCAGCACCTAGTCTGAATTTTGACAAATACAAATCAGCACGGGGAAAGCTCCGCAAATGGTCCCCCTTTCCCCCTCCTCCCAAGATCTCATTATGATGCGATCGCTCTCTATTCAGTCACATAATATATACAATATCGACAATAAACGCATAAATATAGGAGAGATCTGTGACGATTCAATCGGGATGTTAACTAAACATGTACGAACCTGTGCCAGTGCTTGACAATCGCTATATAGGTCAAATCAGCACAATGCGCTTCAAGTAGACTAGACCCAGAACCCCGAGTTGAGTACTAGGGAGGGCGGAAAGAGGGAATAAAGGGCCATAGCCAACCAGGTGTCGAATCTATAATAGTGCCATCAAAATCAAAAAGGAGCCCGTCAAATGAAAAGGTTTGCGCCGGCGCAGTAAATGTCTCTGGCGAGGAGGATCCCATGGTGGTGATGGTGGGGTGGGTGCGCTGCTAATGTTTGAAGATTTGTAACGACTTCTAGGGGTATACTTGAAATTCGGAGAAATGTCTCAACAAAGATAACTGAAATATCTAACACCCTTATATACATACCCCTTGAAATATTCCTTTTCATCTGTTTTGCTGTGTTATTCCAAGTTATCTGTCCCCCGCGTTTCCCGAATTAGATCTGATAAAAGTTTCAGGCTAGCTGATTAGTCATGACAACATTCGGATATATATTCCCCCGATAAACACCGTTCTTGGCGCTCGAAATCTTGGCGTCTTTGCTCCACACAAAAATGTTTGATAGTGAAGACGAGACACGGAGGAGCGAAGAAAAGGCAGACAGCATTATCGGTGCTCTCCTTTTCTCGAACACAAACATTAATTTCTTTTCTTGACTAATTTTGGAAGCAGAGACTTTTCAAAATGGTCAAGCTTGGTATAACTGCCTACTTCAAAGTTCCTATTTTGACGCTGAAAAGCCACAGCTTGACCAAGTACTAACGTCGTTATTTTTTTTTTTCCTTTACAGGCAAGAAGTCCAAGCGCACGCCGGTAAGGCTGCGGCATAAGATTGAGAAGGCCAGTGCAGCGAAACAGAGGAAATCAAGAAAATTGGCGAAAAAGGTATATTTTAACCGAGTCCTGGGTGCGGATATTGCTGTTCAGCGGTGTATAGATTCTCTCCAGTTGCCATCAACCAGCTAACGATTGGTCTTTCCATTTATTTCAGAACCCTGAATGGCGGTCAAAACTAAAGAAGGATCCCGGTATTCCCAATCTGTTCCCCTATAAAGATAAGATCCTCCACGAAATTGAAGAGAAGAAGCGGTTGAAGGAGGAGGAAACCCGGCGCATACGGGAGGAAGCTAGGAGGGCTCGTCAAGGCGGCGCGGAGGATTTTCAAGATGCGCAACTGGAGGACGAAGACATTTTGGACCAGGACGATGATTTGATAGATGATGATATGGACCAGGATGTTGACGAGTCGAATCCCATGGCTGCATTGCTTGCCTCCGCTCGGGCGAGAGCGGCTGAGTTTGACGGCGAAGACGACGATGATGAAATGGATGAGGATGACATGGATGAAGATGACGACGATGAGGATGAGGATGGTGGTGCTCCTTTGGATGACTCGATGGATACGACCTTTGAGAAGTCAGCGCCGAAGGAGACTTCGAGACGGGCATTTGACAAAGTATTTAAGCAAGTCGTTGCTGCCGCAGACGTCGTATTATACGTTCTTGACGCTCGAGACCCAGAAGGTACAAGATCAAAAGAAGTTGAAAGAGAGATCATGGCTGCAGATGGGGGATCCAAGAGACTCATTTTAATTCTGAACAAGATCGATCTTGTTCCACCGCCTGTTTTGAAAGGCTGGATGCTCTACCTTCGACGATATTTCCCTACCCTACCATTAAAGGCGTCAACAGGTGCTCCAAACGCCCACAGTTTTGATCACAAGCAATTGACAGTCAAAAGCACGTCGGAAACTCTGTTCAAAGCTCTGAAGTCTTACGCCCACAGCAAGCAATTGAAACGTTCAATATCCGTCGGTGTCATAGGATACCCTAACGTCGGCAAATCCTCTGTTATCAATGCACTCACTGCGCGCCTAAACAAGGGCTCTTCCTCGGCATGTCCAGTTGGTGCTGAGGCCGGAATTACCACCAGTATCAGAGAGGTAAAGCTCGACAGCAAGCTGAAGCTCATCGACTCACCCGGAATAGTATTCCCCAACGCAGAAAAGGGGAAGAAGAAATCATCCAAGAAGATCAATGAGGAAGCTCGCCTTGTCCTCCTCAACGCCATCCCTCCCAAACAAATTTCAGACCCTATCCCCGCCGTCACCCTCCTTCTACAACGACTCTCTTCCACACCTGCCCTCCTCTCCAAAATGCTCGATGTCTATGGCATCCCTCCCCTTTTCCCTACCGATGGAGACAAGACGAATGATTTCCTAATCCAGGTTGCCCGAAAGCGAGGCCGGCTTGGTAGAGGTGGTGTTCCAAATATCAACAGCGCGGCAACGACGGTTATTACCGATTGGCGGGACGGACGTATTCAGGGATGGCTTGAGGCCCCCGTTATTCCAGGAGCTACTTCCTTGCCTGCTGCAAATGGCCCCAGTAACATGGCTGCGGTGAGCGGTGCAGATACCAAACAGATTGTCAAGGAATGGGCAGAGGAATTCAAACTGGAGGGTCTATGGGGTGATGGCGTCCAACTGGATGACGAGATGGTTGTGGAGTAATCCCCTTTTTCTACTATATCATTTATTGTTTTCTTTCCTTACTGTGTATTCGAACGGATATCAAAAAGGCGCTTTTTGAGGTATATTGCAATTGCTTAGACGGTTTTCAGGGATAAGTCATTAATGTTATTTACTAGGATTACGAGAATATATACCTACTATTTTTATGCAATCTACTTCTAATGACTCTTTATATGTCATTTCTTCTCTGCACACGGGAGAAAAGACGTTTATGGATACTGAATCCGATTTCCGCTCAACATTGATTTCCGACTTCGAATCGACCCCTTCAACCTTTTAAAAAGCTATAATCATGAAGTAAATAAAATACATTCAAAATATATATAAATTAATATAATACGGTAGATTCTTATCAGGCATGGGATATTTATATGAGTTGAAAAAAGATACATCGTTAGTACGCAAAAAGCCTGAGCCGCCGAAAAACGCGTATTTATTTATCGATATCTCTCCGCCATATCATATTAAATAATACAACACCACGCACATCTCTTCCACATTATCCCCTACCGCCTTCAACGACGACAGAGAGAAAATAAAATATCCGTCAAACGCTATTGTAACCGAATCAATTAAATCACAATATCTCTTACACCGGCAAGATTGCACAGTGATTCGCGTATCCCCGCTCCTCCGACCTCCACCCTATCTACACACGCGTGAATTAAAGAGAGTCGGAAAATATTACAACCTCCCCCCTCCCTCTCTCCCTCCCGAAATAATCGAGTCCACGGCCAAAACAAAAACCTTCACACTCAGCTATATCTCCCAAGTCGTATATATTTATACAGTAATATATATATTTGCCCACGTCCTACACACCCTCCCAAATGCCGCCGCGGAAATCCTCGTCTTCCGCCGCAGAGGCCAGCAGTCATGATGAAGAACAGAACGCGGTAGCGGAGGGCTCGAAAACAACCGGGAGTGGTGCGGACCCTATTGAAACCGGTGTAAATGTTGAGGTGAGATTTTATATATCCAGCCTGTAACCAACCTGTTAATTGCTTGCTTGCTGGCTTGTTTCCTCTCCTCGTGTTGTTTGGCCTCCGTGTCTTGGTGATCCCATCGTTGCGTGCATGTGGATGATGATGCGCTGGGGTGGAAATGGAAATTAACGGGATAATCCGACATACCTTTTACCTAGCTATCCGCGAAAAGAGTATTGCTTAGAACGAGAAAGCTGATATGTTTCGAAAATATATATGGATCGAATGTACAGGACTACCTCCTCCCGCGAGCTCTCACACAACGATTGGCAAAGAGCGCTTTGCCTCCGAATACCTCAATACAGAAAGATGCGTTGCTAGCAATATCCAAGGCCGCCACGGTATTCGTCTCGTATCTCTCATCACAGTACGTTATCCTGCCACCTTGTTGGGGAAACACCTATATATATCTGAGACGGCTCCCCTAGCCTATGTCCCATTCTATTATATAAAGCCCTTGCTCTACGTCTTTATCCCGACCCCGGCTTCAAATTCCCACTTCCCCTTCTTTCCAAAAAAAAGGCCTTAACTAACCCACCACCCGTAGCGCAAATGAAGAAACCGAAAAGAAAACCATAACCCCACAAGACGTCTTCGCCGCCCTTTCCCAGATAGAATTCGAAGCTTTCCTCCCGCGCCTCGAGCGCGAATTAGCCGTGTATACTGAAGCCGCAGCGCAGAAGCGGAGGGTGAAAAAGGATCGCAAATCTGCCGCCACCGTTGCGACGACAGGGGTAGGAGCTGGCGTTGGTGCGGCGGGGGTCGTTTCTGCTGCGGATGAAAGTGAAGATGATGATGAGGGTGGGAGGGGAGAACCAGGTGCTAAGCGGCTGAAGCGAGATGGCGAGGGTAGCACGGAGATGGCGATTGGGAGGTCGAGGCCTGGCGTTGGTAGCGGGAAGGGGGTGGAGGGGGAGGGGAGGGGTGGAGGGGATATTGCTGGTGATGGTGATGGTGGTGATGATGAGACGGAGGAAATGGAGGAGGAGGATGTGTTGGATGATGACGAGGAGGAGGAGGAGGAAGGAGAAGAGGAGGAGGAGGAGGAGGAGGAGGAGGAGACGCAGCACAGTGGGCGGGATGGGGATGAGATTGATATCGATGCTGATGCGAGTGATACGGCTAGGAGGAGGAGGGGAGGGATGCATCCGGACCTAGATTCGGGGAGTGATAGTGATAGTGATGGGCTGTGATTTGGGTATTTATGGGTTCTAAGGTATTTAAGGTATTGGGTTAGATGTACTTGGCCAGCCTTTTTTTCTCATGTTTGTTTGCCTTTGGTTCTTTGTTATCGCGTTAGTTTTCCTTTTTGCTCCCCGTGTTAAGCTTTACTATCACTACCATTATTTGTAGTTGTTGACTTAGTTGCGAGGATAATGGCTGTGTGTGATGCGGGTTAAATCAACCACGGTGGTCCTATCACTTCAGATACATATTTCTCTCTTGGTATTATTATTACCCTATCATTATCACTATTTCTATTATGGATCAAATATGCCATCCCACCCATAGTATCTCGTTCCGGAGTATCAGAATGTTTGCATAAAATAAGCCGATGCCATTTTCGTGGTAACTTCGCATATCATTGCAAGTTAATGCCATAGTAACTAAACGCCGCCACATCCGCTCTGTATAGGACGACCTAAAGGTGTAAGATATGCTAGTAATCGCAAGCATAGGGTCACTGGGGACGGGCCTATTCACCGCCACGATATTCAATGTGAAGAGCAGTAGTATACAGTTGCTGAGACGGATATCATATGCATGTGTGCTCTATATACGTACAAAGCCTCGGGTTGCTTCAGAAAGAACAAACCCACTGCTCTCCCATATTCCCTCTCTGTAATAACCAAGCACCCGCAAACGAACAGAGGGAATGAAATGGAAGAAAAATGAGGAAGAAGCGCAGAATATAGATTAAAGGGAAATGAAAGACTTTAAAAAGCTGTTCAAATGTACAAATGTAGATGCAAATGATAGCTCTGATGCCGTTGCTGGTTGAATCTGATATTACATCACGCATTATGTACCTGAAGACCGAAGGGAAAAAGAAAGAAAGTAAGAGAGCAGATATAAAAATCCATACGGTGACCGGAAGACTGAATAGATGACCTGCACGCAAGAGGGCGGGAAGGTGGCAGGCATGACCTGATACCCACACCCTGACACGCAAGAGTTTGGACAAGACGAAAAGCAGAGTCTTTTGAAAGGGGTTGAAACAAAAAGTGCGAGAAAAAATATCAGCCAGCAAAAACATGAATCCATGCAGAACCTCCCTCCGGTAGACCAAACTCCTTTCTTCAATTCAAGGACAAACCACAGAGCAGAATGAAAGCAAAGAAACAAAAGGAAAAATATTATAATAAGCCCAAGCCAGTCTTTATTATACACTCTCACTCCCTGCAAATGAAAAATAAAATAACATAAAAACTATCAGGAGCCCGGAATTCACAGGAGCGGTAGTTTGTAATGTAGCATTTCGAAAGTCTATGTGGGTATCATGCATCATAACCGGTGCGGAGGGACCAGTAATGACAAAGAGAATGGGAATGGAAGGGCAAAATTGCGCGTTCGAAGGACACAGGTCCAAGAGAAAACAATACTCCAGTAACGTGTACATTGGCCAGGGCCTAGGTTCTTCCTATATTCTTCTCTACTCGCGTCTAGTTTAACATTCTCTCAAGGTCAGGTGGGATGGTTCCGGTTGGTGAGATCGTGGCTTTGTCTTTCCAAGGTGGGGTGGAGGTCGTCTCGATAAACATGGGGCCATTATTACGAGCCGCACCAGGTGATATAGCATGCATTGGCTTAGCCAGATCACTTTCGATTGGGCTCGGTGCCTTTTTAGTGGTGACCGTGGTCTTGCTGGACTTGCTAATGCGGAACTGTTGATCGATTTTCTTTGGTTGACTATTGTTCGTTCTGGCTTTCTTTGGAGCTCCCGGCTTCTTCTGTGCGGGTTTCCTAGGCTTCGTGGCTTTCTGACCAGGTTTCCCGGATAACAATGATGACAAGGATTTTTTAGTCGGTTTATCCGCAAGGGGGAAAGGAATTGGCGGTTGGTCTTCAACGTTGAGTGATTCATCCTGGCTCGATGAGGGTGTAAGGATACCAGTACTCTTTTGAGAGTTCTTGAGCGGAGGGACAACGACAGAGAAAGGGCCTTGTTCCTGTTTGACTCGTTCGACGTCTGATGCAGTACATTCCTGGATAGTATCGTCGCTATCATCGTCCCACGGCTTCATATTAGCTTGCCGCGCAACTTCATCACAATCGCCTTTGATGACGAGATCCCAACAGTCCTCGAAGCCTCTTCCGACGGGAACTGGTTCGTGATTTATCCACATAGTAATTCCGTCTTTCCGTCCCCGGACGACGTGGCACATTTCTTTGACAATTCGTCGAACTCCTGGGATCTTTAAAGTGGTGCCAACAACAATTAAAGCATCAGGCCTAGCACGTAAGTCGGCTGTAACAACAGAACCGATAGCCTCTTCGTCAGGATTATGTTCATTGTAGAGAACTATTCTTGGTCTCAGCTTGCCAACACCATGACTTCGCTGGCCGGTAGTTGTGCGAAACTGGTCTGTTTCGCAGCATTTTCGACACAAGGGCGGGTCGGGCCCTTGGAAAAGTTCTGCTTCAAAATCAGATGTATGTCTGCACTTCTGGCAGACCATCTTTTCAAGTCCACCGTGTAGCTGAATGGTACGGGGCCATGGTGCCCTAACGCCGAGTGGAACCTGAGTTGCCAGAGGGGGCAGCGACGTCTCAATGCCATCAACATTCTGTGTATATAGTCGCATTAAACGACCGTCCTTTGCAAGCCGAGCAAGAAGATGGTGGAAAGCGGTAGGCTGAGCAGAGGCTGCCATTCCAGACAGCGAGCGAACCATGTCGTGGAAAGAGGAAGTCATGGTGTCATCTTGATACACTGACGCGTCAAACAACTGCTTCCCCGAGGCTTTAAGTTTGTGATCCTTTCTCAATGTTTTGAATAGGCCATGGGAAGAACGAAAGTCAGGTACTGTGGAATCATCACGTCAGCAAAGAAGCGCCATGAAATTTCGAAGCAAGGATGTACCCACTCCCAGCAGAGACCGAAATTCCAGCGCCAGCAATCACAACAATTTTGCGCTTTTTATGAAGAGCCTTCAATAAAAGGCCCAGTTCATCTGTCTGGTTTGCAAAGCAATCAGTGGAAGCCAAAGACGCTAAAGATAAATCGAGGTGTTTCGTTGATCGTGGCTTCGGCTCGACTTTTCTCCTCTTCTTGGTTGGGAGCGCGGTGTCTTGCGATGCGGAAAGAGAATCACTTGAATTGAGCCCGAAATTGTCTTGAGATGGCGGAGGCGATGGAAGAAAACTTGGAGGAGGGGATGGTGATGCTGGAGGAGAGCTGAGATCTGAGGAATCCCCCCAGGGGTCGAATGGACAGCCCATTGAGGCGAGACGTGACGACGTGTACAAGGCAGGGGAAGAGGGTAAGAGGGTAAGGGGGGTGATAAGGGATCGCGAGACAATATAGCTGGCTAAATCATGGGGGTAAGATAGGCGATCTGATGGGCGTTGAGTGAATAGGACTGATGACCACGATAGGTGTTAGCGGACAGAAAGATGACAGACGTGAGGTTGGATGTTGTGCGTTAGCGAGGGGACTGACGGTTTAGTGAACAATAAATGGATGGAGACGGCGGGAAGAAGGATCAGAGCCGCAGCCAGCGCTCCGGCCACGCTAGGCCCGATTCTGTACATCTAACCACAACACAAAAACCAAAACAAACATTATTATATACAGATATCAGGATATCAGACGGCGAGGGGTGAATATGGAGCAGCTTGCAACCCTGGAAAGGCAAGAATCTGTATCAAGTGAGCTAGCTGCCTATCAATGGGAAACTGATGAAAGCTTTACACCCGTTGATTTTGATGGATAACACTTGGCCTCTACTACAAAACTTTTTATTTATTCTTTTTTTGAGAGACAGAGGGGAGTTATTCGTATATCTTGTTTCACTTATGAGAGTAAAAGATGTTAAAATACACTGTCTAATCTGATTTCTTATTCATTGTGAGAAATTGATCTTTATCTGCTATAAAGATAATAGAGTGTTTCTTAAGTCAATTATCAATTTTAGATACTGCATCCCTAGGTATATTTAGAAGTAGAAGTACGCTGTGTACGTTCTTTCATAGGTATTTAAATATATAATAGCAGATACTTTTGAGTTTCTAACATACCTTTGCCCGTAGGAAACAATCAGCTTTGCCAGAAGCCAGCCAGGGCTTGCCAGAATATGAATATCGCAAAGTTGGCGATGATGCGCATATTTCGAGATGTGGAGCTTCCTAGCCTCGAATGGTTTAGTGTATCCGCGGTTGTCCCAGCTACAGCAAACCTTAATGCTCACGTGGCTTTTGTTAGTCATCCATTAATCATTCATATGGATCCACGAGCGACTTAACATCACGGATGATATAGTTATTTATATTGACCTACATGGTTGTTTTATGATGGACAAGACTATATATCTATATATATAGGTTCGTTCTCTTACCAAAACTTATCCTTTGTAAGGGATATCAAATTGCGATTCCAGCTCTATGCAGCCGGCTGCCAAAAGCTTAGAGCGCTAGACTGCGCACCGACGCTACCTGTGGAGAGGGGATTTTAAGGGGGAAATCTTAGGATGCCTATGATCATGGAGGACAGTATCGATGTAGATGATCTTTTCGGGGATCCAACCTCCCTAGAGCTGGGGCTGGAAGGCGCCGCACCTACCATCAAGGGCCTACCTCAAAGATTAGACGAGCTTCGGCTTTCGGGTTGTTCCCAGTATGTTACCTGCTACCCCTAGTAATGAGTCGTCTCCTGATTCAAGTCCCCATGAAATCGCATTGCTAACACTAAGCTAGAAAAATTGCGTGGTCTAAACTTGGGGCAATTGCGTACGTCTCACAAGATGGCCAGAAAGTCCTACTACGTTGTCTTCACTGCAGACCTGATAACGGCAAATGGACGCTGAGTGAAGAATCCCCCATTAATCAAATCGTCGACATCCATGGCGGCCACACCGTGGTCCATCTTCTCTGGAACGAGAGTGGCTCCGAGCTGGCCATCGTGGATAGCTGTGGCCGAATCGCGATTGTCACCATTATGATGTCGCTGAATACCGTTAATCAGCCGCGTCAGGCCTCAATAGATCCCGATGATGACTTGGCGCAGCCGGTTGGATTGATGTGGTTAAATTTGAACCGACCGGTGAGTGTTTTCTTTGCAACTCTCCTATTTTGACTATGGATTGTTCTTGACATAGCTCAATCGCCAATTTGTCTAGCTATTTGGTTTTCATAAAGCGACACGGACGAATAACAACAGGTGGAATTATCCGGCATATCGGCGTCGCCCCTTAGGGCCCCTGCATCCTGTAAATAAGTCAGCTCTCGTCATGGTGACGAAATCTGGTTATATCAAGCTCATCTATCAGAATCCAGACTTGAGGTGGGGAGAGATCTCCTCGGAATTGAAAACTGTTGGATATCTAGATGGGCTGCTGACACACGCTGCTCTGGCACCGGCTGAAGGTAAGACAATCAACTCAACTATGCAGACGTAGACATATCTCTTATTTGAAAGCCTACGCATATCCTGAAACTGGACTCTTTAGGAAGTGGAATTTCTATCGCCACCCACTCAGCATGTGGGAAAGTGTGTTTCTACCGTGTCCAGGTTAAATGGGATCCCCCAGAATGGGATCAAACGATAAAGCCAGGAGGTGGCTCAATCGCCTTTCCAACACCCGCTTTCCAGGTTTTACATACCAAGACTGAAGTCCTAAGCGCTGTTTTTCACCCGCCGGCGCACGACATGGATAATATCACAGGCTTCTCACCCCCGAATGGAGCAATATATAATCTCACCCATCTTGAAATAATAACGGCACCTCAGCTCCTTCCTAGCACACAGGCTGCTACTGGCCCCTGCATACTAGCCGTTGCATCCATTTCACCCCAGAATCAGCTTGGTCAGCCACCTCCCTGTGGACTTTCAAGCGTCCTTGTCCGCTGGCAGCTAGACACTATGGCGCAGGCCCTACACCCAAGTTTTGATGATGTGGTGTCAAAGAAAACGGCCTCTAACCCCAAGGTGCGATCCAAATAACGCACCCTCTCCACTTAACTTATATCTACTAGCCCCTAGCTCTGATATCCCTCCTACTAATACCCCTGAATTACTAGTCTAAAATAATCTTCAGAAGACTGGACGACATATATTTCGAAAGATATGTCGTCTCGATTGACTACACGGAAGCTAGTAGCGTGCTTGCCATTACACACGACGATAGCTCCATTTCTTTTTTTGAGGCTAGATCCATGAGGCCCATCACTGAGAATGAAGATGGTAACACTGTGACAAGCATGCCAAATGCCGGATTCACCTTTCCAATCGACGCGTCAGGTAGGCTTCATTATAATCCCTTCAGTACATCATAACATGTTTTTGAGACTTCTTATTTATACTTCCTTCTAAGGCCTCCACATTGCATTTTCGCCAAGTGGCTGTATAGCGGCAGTCCTCGACGGGGAGGGACAATTTCATTTGCGATATATGGAGCATTCGTTTGGAATGGAAGATGGGATGTATGATAGCGGTATGCTGTTCCCTTTGGTGTGGATTTGAGTAAATGGAGACGCCATACTTACTTTTAGTTGCAAAAGGCAAATTCACATGCGCAATAGCGGCTTTGGCATTGGGATATGTTCGGGCCTGTGGGAGTGATGCCAGTGCAGATGACATTCTTGCTGTCATCGTAAGACAGCTAAATCCTGGTTAGTTTTTGGGACCAGATTCAACAAGCAAGCCAAAGTTCGTTCGCTGTGTTAACTATCACTGTATTTCAGATGCGCAAAGAACATTTGTCACCGAAGTGTATTCAATTTTATTCACGAGTGTCGACTTTACCGAGCACGATAAACTCGTGAACAATCAATCCATCCAAAAGGGCCTCAGTATGCAAGCAGTTCTTGGTTTCAGATCTCGGTTCCAGCCACGAGCTCCATCCTCCACCGTGTCGTGGATCATATTAAACATTCGGCAGATCATGGTGCTACTTTTGACAGTTTCGCATTACCTCAAGAACGGCAAGGATTCCACCCCTTCGGAGCCGGGTATGTTAACTATTTCAACCCTAACGCAAATATATATAGCCGGGAGAGAAGATAAATATTCTAACTGTCACGCATGGTTACATGTGTATCCACAGAGGTTCTCCGCATGGTTTTGGGAAATGTCAAGTGGATCCTCGATCTTGCAAAGTACTTGGTCGACGACCTCCTCGAAATTGCGGATACAATACCGGCGGACCGAACCTCATTTACTTTATCAAGTGAGTGAAAAAGTTAAAAACCCATCCTCCCCGATTTAGTCGCGATTCTTTTCATAACCCCCCGGCCTACTAACATGATTCTACCACTCCATAAGGCAAGACCTACGAATCCCCTTCCCTCATCCTCGTCCTTTCCAGCATCCCCCGCTCATTCCTCCGCCACATATTCCGCTACCTCGGCCGTTTTCCCCTAACATTCAAAGCTGCCAACAACCTAAGCGGCGAATCCTACCAACTCTTCGCCAGCATCAACGATACAATTGACCAATCCTCCCTAAAACCCGACGTCTGCGAGAAAATGCTCGCACACATCGACAGCATCGTCACCCGGACTTACGAAGCTGCCGGGTTTGGGAGCGCGGAGCGAAACGCACCTGAGCGCGAGATGCTAATCACATGCAGCATCCCGCCGGTGCTCCAACCAGCCGTCATGTCCATATTGACAGAGACGGTGCCGCTGGTAGTACGGCCGGGGGTAGAGAGGATGGCATTGGCGCTATACGACTATAGCTGGCTTGGGATTGGGGATGACAAGCGCACGGAGCTCTTTAAGCGGACGCATGATGTGGACATTTTGAAGAAGAATGTGGGTAAGGTGTTGGATGCAACGGTGGCGAAGAGGAGGTGTGTACGCTGCTGTGAAGTTTCGGAGGATACATGCCTGCCCCGGTCGGCTTCTATGTATAGGCTGATTGGGAAGATTGGGGTTTTGAGGACGTGTGTTTGTGGGGGCTCATTTGCGATGGAGAATGTGGAGGCGTTGGATCGGGTGTCGCTCCCGGTGTATAGGTAACACGTACGTAGTCTCATTTTTATATTTTAGGGGTATTATTTGATCTTGGAGTGAAGGGGTGGTTCTTCTTCGGAATCAAGGGATAGGCGTAGAAGAAATGGTAAGATATTTGTATTTTAAAAGCAGGACATTCCATTATATTTCGTTTACACACCGCGTTGGGATCCGCAAGCAATCAGAGATGGATAAATACCCTGCCTGTACTGTGTAGAGAAGGGGTAACTTGCGGTGCTAGAAGTCTGGGGTGACCACTGGGAGTAAGTTTGCGGAGGCCTTGAGTGGGAAGCCTAGAGTTGTTCATCGACCGTAGGTTGAATCCATCGCGGTTTCGGAGGTTGACAATATGAAAATTGGAGACTGTTGAAACTCGTGAAACTAGCCGCTTCTGAGATGGTAATTGGATGTTGTAGTGCTGTAAGTAGCTTTTTCCTAGGACCGAAGTTAGTGTCGTGGACCTTTGTAGGAGTGATCTGGCCCGCGGGCGTGACTTTCGGGAGATTGCTGCGCGCTGTAGTGACAGGTTAAATATGTAAAAGCGGAAGAAAAGGTTTTGAAGATAAGAATCCCTTTTTTGTATGTTTTTTGAGCCGTAGGAAAATGATTTTCATAAAATTGCTGCCCAACTCAATTGCATCGTCTAGGATACATTTATTTCCATTTTCTCAACCGATTGAAGAAGGAAGAAAAATATCAAGTTAAAACCAGCAAAAAACAGCGCTCTCCAACTCCCCCCACATCCCATTATCATACCTATGCCTATTTAACAAACCACAAACGTTAGCATTGCCAGAACCACAAGTAGCGCATTATATATATCACGAGTAACGTATCTCCCAGCACTAATTTGTCAACGCAAGGGAATTGTTCGTACCTTCACAGCATATTTCCGTTGGGGGAAGTGAACCAGCTTCTTCTTCTCCTTCTCCGTTCTCAAAGAGGCTTCGTGCTTCGACAACCGTCTCCGGATAGCGCGAGTCTGCTTTGGCCTAAGGTCAAGGGGAAGGTATTTCTTGTTCTTGTAGAAAAGACGCAGTTGCGAGCGCTGGTTGGCGTTTATGACGGTAAGGACTTTGGCGATCGATTTGCGCAGATCGTGACTATATATCAAAATTCACCGCCGATTATATTGTCAGCCAATTTCGCCCCTTTTATGTCCAGAATCGTATTTCCTTTCCCCCTGGAGTTTTTTTCCTCCTCTTTCCTTCTTTTTCCCTCTTCATCTCGTTTGCCCATTTCCAATCCAATCACTTTTCGTGCTCTTTCAAATTCGCCAAAATCGGAATCCCATGCATTTGTTAGTTAATTCGGAAAAAGACGTACATTCTGGTGAGCTTAGAGGAAGCACCTCCAGCGATTTTCTGCACACGGAGCTGGCCGAGCTCGGTCTTCAGCTCATCCAGTTGCTTGGTGAGCTCCTCCTTGTTCTTGCCCCAGAGCTGGCCGGTCTTCACCTTGGCGGTCGACTAGAAAACTATCAGCAAAGGAAACCCCCCCAAAAAAAATCCAGCATTTCCCCATCGCGCAGAGATTCAAAACGTACCATGATGGCGGGATGTCGTGTGGTGTCGGTCGGGGGGAGGGGCGGATTAATTGGTGTCGTCGACTTGGGGAGTTGAAGATTCAAAATGTTGCGGTTTGATACTCGTTGTGGGACTAGGGTTGCGTGCGGAGCCGGAGAAATAGGCGAGGCCGAGATATATCACGTGACCACTATCATCCAATTACCTGCCCAGCTATACATCACCATTTATCGAGAGAATAACGGAGGATCTGACAGTTATGGTTTTGGCGATTATTTGAGGGAGTGGACTTTGAACGATTGTTGATTATTTCTTGATACCCCCTGGCGCATCTATTTCATTTATTTACAGCTCTAAACCAAGACCAATATGGCAACTCCAACGGGGACAGGATGGGCGCAGTTGCGACAGCAGGCTCGTTCTCTTGAGACGCAGGTAATGATCATATTTCTAAATCTCCTTTATTGCCCAAGGCCTTACTGCTGGTCAGTATATACTTACACCGCCTTGTCGCAGACAGAGACCTTATTCCACACATATGCGCAATATGCATCCCTCTCGCAGCTACCTATGACCCCGTCAGAAGACGAAATAAAAGCCGAATCCCAAATTCACGATATTCTAGAACGGGTATGCACGAGAAAGAAACCATATTTTCGCAGTTCTTCTAACCCCTCCTTGCTTCAAAAACAAAACCTAATCGTCCGAAATATAATCCCCAGAGAGATGCTCTTATAGCTCAGCTAGCTCGCCTCCTCGACTCCGAATCCACCCTCACTTCCTCAGCTCTAAAACAAAACAACCTCTCCCGCCACCGCGAGATCCTCCGCGACCACCGTCATGAACTCAAGCGCCTCAACTCCGCCATCGCCGAAACCCGCGACCGCGCCAATCTGCTTTCCAACGTCCGCTCAGATATCAACGCCTATCGCTCCTCGAACCAGAATAACAACAATGCAGAGGCAGAGTACATGCTGGAGGAACGGGGCCATCTCGAAAGCAGCCATAATATGATGGATAGCGTGCTTAGCCAGGCGTATGCGGTTAATGAGAATTTTGGGCTGCAGCGCGAGTCGCTGGCGAGGATTAACCGGCGGATTGTTGGCGCGGCGAGTCAGGTTCCTGGGATGAATTCGCTTATACATAAGATTGGAGCGAAGAGGAGGAGGGATGGGATTATCCTCGGTGTGTTTATTGGGATTTGTTTCTTGGCGGTGTTTTTCTTTCGGTGATGAACGTGGCTGTTTATTCTTTTCCTTGAGTTATATCCTGCACTGGGCTGGGAAGATATGGAGTTATTTTTCTTCTACTTTTTTATGTGGGACACTAATATCAGCAGGCATGTATTTATTTTATATGGCTTCTCAATTGTATGTTCATCTATTTATCTATATTTACATATTAATCGTGTATCAAGGTCATATATGTCAAGGTGTGGGGATTGTTATTCACGTTGTATACAATAGGCTCATTTCCGAACGAAAGGGGGTATACGCTGCTTTGATATTTGATATTCACTCAGGCACTTCCATCCGCTTTCCGCGAGAGTGCATTGAGACCTTTCCATACCTTCCTCTCGTCCACCAACTTCCGCAGCCCGTTATTCAAAGACTCTAACTCCCCATCTTCCGCAATACTGCTCCCAGCCCACCGAATCCTACACTCCTGGTCCAGCAAATATACATACCCAACCTTACTGTTCATCATCCCAATCTGTTCTCTCAAGCTATCCGTCAACGCCTTTTGCCGCACAAGGAAATACCGATCATGCTGCTCCTGAGGCATCTTCCTCCTCATCCGCCACATAAACATACGTATCAACCAAACTTTCAGCACATTGTCCTCAAAGTTGATCTCGACCCGCTGCGCCGCCTTGGGAGAATCTTTTAGGATCTGGTGCAGCGTCGGGTTTTTCAGCGGGCTTACGAAGGATGCGACCTGACGCTCGGCCCAGAGGCTGGAGAATATACTCACGACGGATACCTTGCCGCGGAGGATTGGGGTTGTGTCTTGCATGGGCGTGGTGGGGGAGAGAGTGCGGCCATATATGTTGGGGAAGTAGAGGGCCTTGTCGGCTTTGAAGAGGCGGGTGTTGGATATGAAGGTTTTACCCTTGTGATAACGCATATTTGTCCATTCGCGGAAGTAAGGTTTGGCGGCTTGTCGAGCCCTACAGGTTGTGAAATGATTAGTGATATTCGTGATTTACAACGTTGTTCCATTCTGCTATGTCTGTATTCGTCGCATTACAACGTTCGCAAGGGGTCTTTACAATTCTTGTCGTCGGATGATATGTTTCTCATAGTCCACAAAATCGTCTCGACGTTGTCGGAGAGTTCTGTTATCTATACCGGAATTCTGCCCAGCTTGCGGGGGATAAGGGAGTCCTAGAGGGCGACTGAGCGGTTTGGGAGTAAATTCCCCCTTTGGACCCTTTGCTTCTGCTAGTGGGTCAGTCGCATTGTTGCTGTTATTGTTGTTGCGAGGAGGAGGAGTCTTGATCTGCGCGGTCCCCGCAGGCTTTGCGGGAGTGGGTGAACTGAACGTTGATGCATCTCGCCTGCGGAGCTGTGGTTGCAACTCTCGGAATTGGCACGATAGGCAGCGGCTTGTGGGAGGAAATAATGATGAATGAAGTGAGAGTAAAATTGCGCGTGGCTTTGACATGGCTGAGATACAATGGCAAATGCCGGCTCTGCTATTTACCTGGCTGCTGAGCACTGAGCTGCGTTTGGAATTTTGAACCCATCGTTAATGACCACTAAGTAGCTCCACGTGATCTGGTGCCTATTTCGTGTTCCGTCACACAGGCGACGTGTTTCCTTTCAACCCCATCGCATATTGTGAAACCATATCAATTGGATAACAAAGTGCGATATATTTTGCAGAAACAAATAATTCCATCATCCATGACTCTACTATGCTACTGCATTGATGTTTTCTATGATGGATCAATATGGAGAGGGATAAAAACGGATGTGGCGACTCGGAGCGTTTAGCAGACAAGGAAACGTTTTGCGAGGATCTCTATAAATTTAGCGGGCACAGCGACAACTCTCAAGAGATCGATGAGTTAGCAGTGTTACTGAAGCAAGCAAGGAAGAGAAATTCCCCCGACCGAACGCTCTCGCGAACTCCCGGATCAGAGAAGAGCACCACCCTCCCAGATTGCCACAATCTTAAACGTCAAAAGGTCCCTGATGCGCAGGAAATTGCTAGTACTATGAGATCTGACAAGCCCGCATCTGCGAGATCTGCACTTCCGAAAAGGCGACCAACACTGGATGGTGTTGGTGGGAACATCCCGACGTCCAAGAGAAGACGCGAGTCCACCGTTCGAGTGCGTCCGGAGCACCAGCAAATCTTTAAGGAGATGGTGTTTTGTTAGTATTGTCCTCGCCCTGTTCGTTGGCTGTGCAGAAGTAAATATAGCCCAAAAATGGCTATTAGGTGCTGACACCTTTATCACTCAGTTTTCATCCCTAATGATGACATCGCTCCCGCACGTCGCATGCGAATCAATAAGGCACTCGAATTTGGAGCCTCCCGCTCATCTACCTGGGACGACACTGTCACTCATGTGATCGTGGATAAGGCGATTTCTTTCACTGATGTATTGAAATACTTGAGAGTCGATGCCTTGCCAGTGAGTTCACCTGGATGCATCTCCAACCCTTTCTTCTAACTGTACTTCGTAGCTATCGGTGTCTCTGGTAAACGAATCATATCCGACTGAATGCATCACCTTTGGGTCCCTTATGAACGCGTCTCATGCTCGCTTTCATGTTAGTGGAGCTCCGGCCAAGAATAACGAAGCCTCCAAATCAGATGGAGAGCCTGCCGTGCGAGATTCACCAAAGCTAAAATCTTCGCGCAATGGGATTTACCAAGAGACCCCCGTTCCGTCCCCATCACCACCGACCAACGAAGGGCTTCAAGACCCCCTAGTTCCGCCACCTTCTGACACTCATCGTAAAGATGACTGCGCCGATGTAGTAGAGCAGTGTTCCCAGAAGGGACATGATATTTTAGATGAGCTGATTAAACAAGCACGTGCAGAGAAGGTTCTGGTAAGCGAGACTAGTGTTATTTTTCTATTATCTATCTTGGGGATATGCGCTGAATGACAACAGCCTTTAGATCAGTCAGAAGAGGAGGACGTAGACACAGCTTCAACCATAGACGAAGTAGATTCAAACTCCGATTCGGAAGCTGAGAAACTAAATGAGGCAAAGAAGAAGAAGAAGAAGAAGAAGAAGAGGTCCACCGGAAATCCACAATGGCAACAGACCTTTAGCTGCATGCACAAGCATGATGGACACACGGATCGGGATAATCCCAACGCTCGTACGATAGAGATTTTACAGAAAATGTCAGAGTACTACGACCGCATTTCAGATCAATGGCGCACACTCGCGTATCGAAAGGCTATCAGCGCTCTGAGGAAGCAGAAAGAGAGGATAGTCACGAGAGAACAAGCGGTTACAATCCCTGGCATCGGCGAGCGACTTGCCGCTAAAATTGAAGAGATCGTTTGGACAAACAGACTCAGACGACTCGAAGAAGCCAATGCAGAGCCGCATGATGTACTTCTTTCACAATTTCTCAATATTTACGGAGTCGGGTTTGCCCAGGCTTCCAAGTGGATTCAGCAGGGCTACCAGTCATTGGACGACCTGAAGGCCAAGGCCTCTCTGACAAAGAACCAGAAAATTGGCATTGAACATTACGATGACTTTTGCCAACGAATTCCACGCGCGGAGGTGGAAGCACATGGAGCAATTGTGAAGAAGCTACTCTTTACAGTAGACCCAGCCGTTCAAGTCATAATAGGAGGGTCTTATCGTCGTGGCGCAGCGAGCAGCGGAGATATAGACCTCATCATTACCAAAGACGGTGCCACACAAGCGGAGATCTGCGCGTTGATGACAGACATAGTTATCCCGGCCTTGTTCCAGCAAAATTTTCTGCAAGCAAGTCTTGCAGTAGGCAGACGAGGAGAGAGTTCAAAGTGGCATGGGGCATGTGCATTGCCTGGAAGCAAAAACCCCGTCTGGCGCCGGATAGATTTTCTGTATGTTCCTGGCGATGAGATTGGGGCCGCGCTAATTTATTTCACGGGCAATGATATTTTCAACCGGAGTCTGCGGCTGTTAGCGAGTAAGAAGGGTATGTGTTTGAACCAGCGGGGGCTGTTCACTGGCATTATACGAAGGGAGAACCGGGTCAAGCTGAACAGTGGACGTCTTATTGAGAGCCGGGACGAGAAGAGAATTTTCGAGATACTTGGTGTGCCGTGGCGTCCGCCCAACCACCGCATCTGCTAGTTATTAGGATAGGATATTTAATGATAATGATAAGGATAATGACAACGATATAGTTTCTTGATACAGAGTTCAGTCACATGACGATTTCGGACATACATTTTTCCGCTCTCCAAAGGCGGTCTGCGTAAAGACATCTGATTCCGCTCTCACAAAAAGTTTTGCCATCACTTTTGTAAGTATATCAGTTTACATAGCAGCGAGTTCGCGCGGGGATCTATTGCAGTAAGAGCTGTGAAGATACCTGCTCATAAACTTTTCTGTTGATTAATTTTCCCTAATTAAAAGCACCCTGCAGCTCATTTTTTTTTTTTTTGGCTTTCCCAGTCGCTTCCTATCACTTTTGCTCCTGCAGCTCTGCTCTGCAAATTACATCTGCTGCATCTGCCAGGACACACTGGGTGAAGCAACAACCCTGTCTGAACGCCCCTCTTCTTCTCTTTTCGATGCTCAATTGACCTTGATAAAATAAACCTATTTATCGCGCGTTGAAATAGGCGTGGCGAGCCCAAAAAAAAAAAAATTAAAAAAATTAAAAAAAGAAACAGATTATATAAAGAAAAATGGGGCGCAAGCCAAACGGAATCGTCACCGAATTCTTCAACCGGGGTGCCAAACTCCCAGACTCGAGCAACCGCTACGAACACACATGCAAGTCCTGCGGACAGAATTTCCCCAAAGGCCGCGCTGACAGCCTGCTCAGCCATCTGGTTAAAACATGTCAGGCAATTTCGGCGGCGGATAAACAGCGCGTGCTACATCTGTGGCGAGCAGCGCCCGAACGCGGTGGACGAGGGAGCGCCGGAAAGAAATTGCACGTCGATGGGAGTGTGCGTATTGGACGTGGCAAGCCGGGGAGTTTGCCATATGCAGCGAGGCAGACGGTTTTCAATGGGATTGGCGGCCTCAATGGGCTGAATGTGCTCGCCGAGGCATCGAGGCAGGTAGGCGCCTCTGATGGGAAGCACCCGAATAACAATAACGAAGTAGGAGGAGAAAATCCCCTAGGAGATAAGACTATTGTGGTAGATCCGGCATTGGAAACGTCCAGTGCGGGAAAGCAGCGAAATATTGGTATATAGTCCCGAGTTCTGTTGTGGAATGTGTTTTCAAACTTCTGAACTCTTAGTCGCTAACACGGATTGTTGGTGATTATCTTAGAGGCTGACCTTCGCGCCGCACTTGCCGCATCTTCTCCGCCGCCTAACCACTATGACCACCATTCGGCAGAATCTTCGACCGCCATGGCATTCCTTAATAACAACTTCTCCCTTGCCGCTGAACATAATCCAGATCCCGGGCAGTCCTCGCAGCTCTCCTTGATCGCCGCTTCTGCGAATGAGATGGTCCCGCAGGATGGAGGCCTATCCCTAGATAATGATGTATGACCCTTTATTCCAATGTGTCTTTTATTGGATCTAAATCCCAAAACTCTTCTTCCCCTTTGTCAAAGGAAGCAGCTAACATCCCTACCTAGGTTGACTTCGACTCTGCTACTCATCACGCCGCCTTCTATCCTCGACCTATTGCCATACACCCCAGCCCACAGGACTCCTCCGGGTTTATCAACAATTTTGGTGAAGCTAGTAAGCCGACAAAGCATAAACTTAGAGCGCAATTCTCGGAAGAGCGTCGAAAAGAGGTTCAATTGGTCAGGAAAATGGGTGCTTGTCTACGGTGTCGGATGCTGAAGAAAACTGTGAGTATCCACGCCTCCTCTCTCTTTTATTGGGCTATATGTTGTGGGAAGACGTAGCTTGGTAACACCCAGATATAGTGTTCTTCGGAAGACCCGTGTAGGCAATGCCGTACAATTCAAAATCCCCGTGTATGGATGGAATGCTGCATCAGGGATCGGTTGCCGACTCAGTTAACCGCTTACTCCGCAGGTAAAGATTCTCCAATCAGATAAACCCAAGAGGGAATATTAACTCCAAATATTATGGTCAGGCCTTCATACGACATTGGCTTATCACGACATAACCAATGCCAAAAACCAGCTACCGTTTGACCTTGGGATCGGAAGAATTGAGATATTTCACTTCGACTGCCAACCCCCGAAGTTCATCACCTTCAGTGCTTTACACCATCAGACGGAGACGTTACCAAATGTGGATCCTGAGCTTCCCACACCGGCTTCCGATGAAGAACCGAAGGTTCAAGCGCAGCAAGACATACGAATATTAGAAGGCGATATTGATGAGCTATTCACCAAGGTAGAAACTTACGTCAAGACAATGGCTACCCAGTATTTCGAATCCGAGCCGTCGACTTTCGTCAGAGAATCAGTGACTCTGGCTTGGGAGCTTTACCAGAACACAGCTGTAAGCAAAGCTGTCACTTCTCAAGTTTTGTGTGTAAAGTCGTTTATGCATATTTTAACTAACTCAATTCGATAACAGGACCAATTACTAGCTGGCGTGTTAGACCTCTGGATCGCAACTCGAATCCTGGTGGACGCGGACCAACTAAAATGGAAGATATTCCTTAACCCAACTCTCCCGCCATCCTCCACCCAGCCTTTATCTTCAACTTCCACAGAACTCTGCACTCCCATCGATGAAACAAATTCTCCACATTCATACGCTCTCATCTGTGCCCAACTCCGTGCCGCTACGGAGAGATTTGCAGGAAGAATTAGTAAGACCGTTCTCACCAAAATCGAGCAGCGGTTACTTCAAAAACAACGTAGTGGCCACTTCCGCACGTTCTTAGGTGCTGTCGTATTGATGAACTGTGTTGAGCGTATGTCGTGGCTGTTCATGAAATGGGAGAACAGTGAGCAGGACAGGCCACAGGTATTTTTATTGTTCATTGTTTATTTTAATCAGAATTTTACTTTAACACAAAATCTGCGGTAATATTAACTCAATTTCAATCCAGTGGCCCCTCGAAAACGGCCCCGCCATGTACGCAGACCAAAACAATCGATTCGCTGATATTGTCACCACCCATCTCCGCATGCGCTCCCTAGCCCCAGACTGCACCGTGGATCCTGAAACCGGTAACCTAATGGCCAGTTACAGCCGTGACCCGGACGTCACAAGGTGGTTTAACGCCATCGGTATTTCACGTAGGTAAACCCCAATAAAACCCATCCATGGCCCTTACGCTTAAAAAATCCTCTGTTAAATATCGCGTTGAGCACACTTTTGCTCCTCCCTTGGTTACTAACAATTATGTTTCTTTATGCAGCTCAATACTTCCAAGAACGTCAAATGGCAGCATTCGATGCCTCAAACCCACGCTCTCTCGATTTGCTCTATTGTACACATCTATTCCGGCCGGCTGCCGAAAATACTACAGGATAATACTTTCCTTCCGTTTTATTCTCCTCCCCTTTTCCCCCTCTTTTTGCATCCAATTCCCTGTGTTTATTTTAATATTATTTAAACGGGGATTTTGTACACTGCCTATGAGCTTCATGTGTTTACGAGCGGTATGCTATATTTTATAATACCGCTTTCCTCCCTTTTCGTGCTCTTTGTTCACCCTCTATATATTTTCTCTCTTATTTCACCATCTTTTTTTCCCGATCCATTTCCTTCGCTCTGCTTCTATATCCACGCTATTGATTGTTTGATGCGATTTATATACATGGGAAAGGGTCCTGGAAAATGGCGGAAACGGTAAAATGGTGGGAAACGGAAAATTTGGGATATATATGGGATGGGAGGGGACATACGTCCTTTTTTCTTGGGGGGAAAGGGTCCACAGCTTTATGGTACATATCTGGCGTTTTGGTCTGTGTTTTACATATATACGTTCTAGCCCGTTGGTGCGCGTTCATATTTTACTTACCCATCGAATCTCTCTTTTATTTTTCTGGGCGTTGGATAATCAATATTTCTCTTGCCTTTCTCTTCTTTGTCTTTGCAGTCAAGCGCGCTGCTTTGCTGAAATGTTCAGCGCGTTATTATCTTTTATCTTTTTAATCTTTTCCCCTCCCTCTTTACACAAAATCAAGGGCAAAATTTTGATTAGGGCGGCCACCTCCTTTTTTTTGCTATGGGCAAATGTGCATGTGTTGGTTACGGTTTAATGGAACGGAGGGATCCTGTATCTTGTTTTCTTCCTTTATATAATTTGTCCCCCTTTCATTGGAATTGCTGGCTTGAATATGGAAACGATTGAGATGAGATATGTTCTTTCTCCGTTTTTCTAGCTTATTGGTACAGGGCCCCTTGCTAGGCGTGTGATATTATAAAGTTGAGTCGTCGTCCTTTTTTTTTTTTTTTTTCTTCCTTGCATACGCTCCTTCCCTCACCATTCTCCCCTAGGACAAAATAACAACGTAGCCTGTTAGTTATCCTATAACCAAGAAAATATCTCTGTAACTGTAATCTATATACAACCCACATGTCATGGGTGTACACATTAACTTTTTATATTTTTTTCATCCGTACAAGCATCAAATGCTCGCTTACGCTCGCTTTTCTGCTTGCGCAGCCCCCTCTACCACTTCCACCCTCCCGGCGTGTAATGGGAGTGTGATTGCCAAGAAGAAAGAAAAAAACATAGGAACGAAGGAATCCCCGTATCACTAAATTTGTCAGATCGCTGAGCATGATTATGTTGCCGATAGTCCCATATCTAGACCG